TGCAGAATACACACACACACACACACACACACACACACACACACACACACACACAAATACAAATATATGTATGTGACTCAAAGGTAGATTTGATTGCAGGGAGAGAAAGGGGTCAAAAGGGATAGCAAAGGAGGAAACAAGAGGGTAATGGAGGGAGATAAATATTGCATGTTTGTGCTCATACACAGAACACATAGGGAAGGATATGAACAAAGTGTAATTTTATATGCATATACATATATTATCAAAATGAAACTCATTATTGTATTTGGTACATAAAAATATAACTGAAAAGGCAAAAACGCTAAATGAAAGAAGCCAGATACAAAAAGCCACATATTGTATGTGTCTTACCTCTACCAAGTCCAATATAAACAACTGCCTAGTGATTGAGCGAGTTTGGTATGGTTACCTTTGGTTAATTGGTTTTAGACTATGTGGGGTGACTGTTAAAGGATATGGTTGCTTAGGGGTACTAAAAATATTCCAAAATTTATGATGACAATTGTGCGATTTTGTGAATACAGGAAAGATCAATTCATTATATCCTTTACTCTGGGATGAGAAGAATTGGAAGACTCTCAACAGACTGTGATATGGTCTCTGACATTTTATGGTTTGTTTTGTTGAAATCAGGTCTCATGTAGCCTAAGATAGGGGCCTTGATTTCACTACACAGCCAAGGATGACCTTGAACTCTTGATCATCTTGCCTTCATCTCCCAGGTGCTGAGATCCAAGTGTACATTATTATGTTACTACTCATACGTTAAGCAAGTGAATTCTATGATTTATGCATTACATCTCAATCTGTGGTACAAAAATGAAATGATAACATTATGTCACTGAGTTAGGTGGTGGGCTCTTGGGTGCATATTTTATTATAATTCTTCAAAATTGCATTTACGTTATTCTTTGTGGGTAAAATATCTATCTTACGAAAAACATTTTTAGAAACCTGATTGACCTGACTTCTGACTCTACCACTTACCAATTATGAGTTCTTTGGCACATTACTCAACCTAAGCCTGCCAGTGACTTATCTGTAAGCAGAGATGGTAATAATAGTAACTTCCTTGTGGCTTCTTACAACTGCATGCCTGGTACGTTTTCAATGCTATTATTAGCTAACGTTCCCTTTAAGCAGTTGAACCACTTGTGGTAAAATGTCTATGCTAATATCCGCTCTTTTTAAAAATATATTTTTCTCTTTTCAATTTACTTATGATGATGATGGTGGTGGTGGTGGTGGTGGTGGTGGTGGTGGTGGTGTGTGTGTGTGTGTGTGTGTGTGTGTGTGTGTGATGTGTATGCATGAGCGAATGTGGGTATAAGGTCAGAGGACAAGTTTTAGGAGTCAGTTCTCTCCTTCCACTGTGGGATTGGGATTCAGGGACTGAATTCAGATTGGTAGGTCTGTGTGCAAGCACCATTCATTACCCTCTGAGCCATCTCACCAGCCAACAGAGTATTGCCAGTGCAATCTCATGTCTATGGTGTCCTTGCTTTTTGTTTGTTTGTTCTGGTTGTGGGTTTTGAGGAAGTACTAAAAAAGGAAGTTAGAACCTCATGATTTTATTCTTTGTAGCTGGGAAATATCCCTTTGTTTATGAATGCCACATTTTGATTACTCATTCATCCACTGATGGGCACCTGGCTTGACTTCACATCTTGATTCTTGTGAGTATTACTATGATAAGCAGGTGCAGGTGTCTTTATTGTATACTGACCTTGATTCCTTTGAATACATAGGCAAAGGGGAGACAACTGTTTTAAATTTAGTTTTTAAAGGAACTTGCATACTGATTTCCATAACTGAAATGTCTACTACTTCTGAGGGTTGATATCAACTAATTTTCTAGCCTGCTAGGGAAGTTCAAGTCAAAGCCTATTCTTTTCTGTCTTGAGCTGTGTCCAGAACCCATGACTACTCTGAATCTAGTCTGTGAAAAAAAGAGCCCGTGTGTGTTGGCACTATTATCATCCTACCTGGGTTTCTTACATATGATTCCAGTGGTTAAACTGCATCTTCAGCCTTTAATCTATTTCTGATCCAGATAAATATTTTTGGTGAATGTGTCAAAGATGGGTATTTAGAATTTAAGGAATTGTTGAAGAGATGTGTCACTCATCTAGCCTTGTAAAGACTTATTTTTTCATTTGGGGTGTGTGTGTGTGCGCGCGCGTGCGTGCGTGCGTGTGTGTGTGTGTGTGTATGTGTGTGTGTGTGTGCGTGTGCGTGTGTGTACATGTTCCATTTGATGTGTATGTACTTGTACATTTGCATGTATGTGTGCACATGTTCCATTTCATTGTGTGTACTTGTTCATTTGCATGCACTTGTACATTTGCATGTATGTGTGCACATGTTCCATTTCATGTGTGTGTACTTGTTCATTTGCATGCATGTGTGTATGCACACCTGTGTGCACATGTGTGCTTGGGTGTGCATGCCTGTGTACATTTAAAAACAAGAAATCAATGTCAGATACCTTCTACCTTATCATTCAATTTGAAATTCATGGTTCAGCTAAACTAGCTAGCCATTGAGGGCCAGGGATCTGCCTGCCTCTACTCTCCTGCCTCTAGGCTTACAGACAGGCACCTCTATACCTACCCTGGTTTTCTTTACATGGATGGGTGCTAGAGATCCCAACTCAGGTATTTATATTTGTGTGGGAAACATTTCACCCACTAAGCCACCTTCCCAGCACTGTAAAGATTTATTCTGATGGGAGATAGCATTCAATTATTTTTTTTGAAAACTCAAAGCCAATCGTATTCACACAAATTATTAGAGGAAGTGACATGGAGCTCACAGTCAGTGTTAGGTTCCTTACCACTGCCTATTGTTTACCCGCTTGACTTCTTGAAACTTGTATCAATCAGCACCCCAGAAGCAGCAGAGTTTGGGGGAAACATTCATTAGAGTGTAGAAGAGAGTGTAAATATAAAATATAAAGGATCAGTGGCACACAAAGCCTGGGGAAAACTGGATACAACATGTCAAAGAATGGGACTACTTCCATCTCTCTCACCCTGCACAAACATACATGCAAAAATTGATCAAAGACTCAGTGTAAGACAAGAAACTTTGAAATGCTAGGAGGAAACCCTGAAATACAGTATAGGCAAGCACTTTCTGAGAACTCCATATGCCAGGAAATCAAGCAAGAATCGGCATATGCCACTCCAGAGATGTTATTTAAAAAAAGAAAAAAGAAAACCTTCCACACTGCAAAAGAAACAACTGAACAAAGAGAGAGCCCACACGGTGTGAGAGAAATCTTCTCCAGAAAGTCAAGGAAATGTTTCTCAAAACTCAAAAGTGCCGTTGCTGGGGAGCCACCCTAACTAACACTCCTGCCCTTTCCTTTCGTCGTCTTCTTTCTGCTACTGAGCACACTTGCTCTGGTACTTGAGGTATTTTCACTCTTTCTGCGATGTTCCCCTTCCTGCCATGTGTCTGCTTGTTTGCCATATGGCTGACCTCCATGCTGGCTTGGCTCAAATGGCAATCTCTCTCTCCTTTCCTCTCTCCTCTCTCCAACTCCCTCCTCTCTGCAGCTGGTGAGATTTACAGCTTGCCGGCCCTGGGATTTTTCTTTTTTCTCCAAAAAGAAAAACTCATCAAATTTAGCCAAAGAAGAAATAACACAATAAATAACGGACAAATCATCTGAGTAAACACTTCGCAAAAGGCACAAATGGCAAATTTATGGGGGAAAAATTCAATATTCAGCCATCAGGGAGATAGAAATCAAAAGTGTATTGGGATTCCCATCTCATCCTAAGTCATATGGTTCTCATCAAGAAAGCAACAACCAATGCTGGCAGATACAGGGAAAAGAAACTGTGTTGTCCATGGCTTGTGGGAATATATCTTAGTCTAGCCACTATACAGAGTGGAAGTTTCTCAAAACACTAAATACAAAACTATCAGCTATAGAACCCCTTTGTATATAACTGAAGAAAGGAAGGAAGCATATAACAGAGTTATCTGCACACCCATGTTTATTGAGGCTCTTAATTGTGACAGCTAAGCGCTGAATCAGCCTATTGGGGTGTGTGTGTTTGTGTACCTTTATACTTATATATCTAGTTACATCTATATATCTTTTTATCTGTCTATATTGACTATTATTTATTCATAAAGAAGTGAATGCTCTTTACAGAAAGGGAATGGGAATAAAGGTCATCATGTTAAACAAAATCAGTTTAGTACAGAAACACAAAAATTGCTTATTTTTTCTCATATTCAGGAGCTAGAATTAAAGACATACCAGGTGGCATGTGTATTTGAGAGGGTGAGGCAGGAGGATTACCAAGAATTTGGTGCCAGCCTGGGCTATGGACTGATCTGATCCTAAATCAAAACAAAACAAATATCAATCTGTATATAGTAAAGTGACTACTTGTGACTCAAGGGGGAAGAAGTGAGAGAATTTAACAGCAGATATGACCAAACCAAGACATGTGCACATGTGGAAATGTCAATAATATGTGCAATTAACATATGTTGATCACAATGTAAACAGTAATACTTGGTATATATAGGGTTAACTCATAATGTTAAATGGAATTTTACTTAAGCAAAGTCTTCCCTGATTTTTCCTCCACCTTAACCCTAACCCTAGCCTTAATCCCACTTACTTATTATATTGCAAAGTTCCCAATATCCTTTTGACAAACCTCTTGCAATACATGTCCACAGTGTTTCACTTGACAACTGCATTTCTCTCCCACAAGAGGTGGGACCCTGTCTTTCCTGATCACTACTACTATGCTCATCAGTGTATTTACAAGCTTGCCTAGAGTGAGTGCTCAGTAAATTATTTGTTGCATTAGTGGATGACCAAGCCATGAGACAATGAATTCAGTCTTGGTCTGTAGAACAGAGATAACCAAGAGTTGAAATGGAGACCTTGAATTCCAAGAAGAAGTCCTCCTGAGCAAGGCTCTCTGCAGAACAGCTGTGCTGGGGGAAAGCCAGGACTTTACCTGTGCTGGGTGAGCACGTTGACAGCTGAAGGATGATTTGCACAGTAAGCCAGGTACATTGATTTAAAATGAGGCATGAGGTTCAGTAGACAGCCTCCTACTTTGTGCTGGTTTTCTGGAAACCTGTAAGTAAAACATGTGAAGCATAGAATGTAAACTAGGAAACAGAAGGTAAAGATACTCATAATTGAGCCCAGAAGCAGGTAAACCATTTGACGCATTGCCATGAGGGTTATTTATTTTTTTATTTGTTTGTTTGTTTGTCTTTAGGTACACTGGAAGCACTTTATCCATGGAATGCAGTTTTTGATCACTGATTAAAATTCTAGCCACCTTGCTGGAGAGGTGGCCTGATTGTTGAGAGCACTGGTTACCCTTCCAGAGTACCCAGGTTCAATTCCCAGCACCTACCTGGTGGCTTGCAACCATCTATAACTCATGCATGTGGTACACAGACATATACAGGCAAAACACCAATACACATTAAATAAATAAAATTAAAAAAATAAATTCTAGCTACCATGTAAAACTTTGATGTATAGGATAAAATTCTTACTTGGAATTAGCAGGTAGGGCTGTTTGTTTCTAGGATGGTTATATTCAAATTTCTCTTGACACATTAAGAATATTCAAATTCACACCAAGTTCAAACACAGACAAAACTGATTGAATTTAACAGCATAACACATCTTGGACAAAAATTTCATCCCATGATGCTCAGAAAACAGGCAATCTCCCAATTTCCATAGACTGATGAAAGTCACTAGTTTTTCCAAGATTCACTGGAAAATTAATTTTACACCAGAAATATACTGCCATTCCAGTGAACTTTGTAATATGATGTGTACTAATTCAGAAATCAAGTAGCCATCAAAACCATGCTGTGGGGGTTGGAGAGATTGCTCAGTGGTAAAGATCACTGGCTTCTCTTGCAGAGAACCTGGATTCAGTTCTCCACATCCTCCCACACTGGTGGCTCACAACTGTCTATAGCTCCAGTCTCAGGGGATCCAGCCTTTTCTCTGGTTTCTGAGGGTACTTCATGCACATGGTGCACACTCATATATAGATTGCAGGGAAAACACCCATACACACAAAATATAAATAAATCTTTTTTAAAAATCATGCCATGGTTCACACAAGACCTATACTTTTTTCTTCTCCGACTTTGTATGTGTTTCAAGTCAGACTATAACAGACACAATACCAGTAGTGCTACAAAGAACCAAGTTGGACATGGTGGTAAGTATTGTAATGCCAGAGACAGAGGTAGAAAGATCTGAACTTCTAGAGCCACCTAGGCTACACTGTGAGCTTGGGGCCTGCTGGGACAGAAGAGATGGGGTTGGAGTGGGCAAAGTGAGGGCCAGGGGTGGAGTACAGTAGTAGAGAGCCTGCCTAGAGCACACAAGGCCCCATTCTAAGGGGTCAGAAAGGGGGAGATTGGAAATGAATGATTTAAATGACTTTTCCAAGTACTTTTCAGCACATCAAATAAAAATGTCTTAACGTCAAAGCTGTTATCATCGGCCCGGCAGAGAGAGCTTAGTGGTTGAGCACTCTTGCAGCTCTTGTAGAGGACCAGAGTTCAGTTGCCAGCACACATCATAACCACCAATAACTCCAGCTCCAGGGGATCCAACACCCTCTTCTGACCTGGTGCACACGCATACACGAAGGCAAACAGGCAAACACAAACAACAAAACAAATGGTGCTATTTAAAATTAAAGCCAGAAAGAGTCTACCTAGATGGAACCTTTGCATACCTCTAGTGGTTTGACACTAAACCCCATCAGTGTCTTGGCAGGGTGGGGCATCTTTATGTGTCCCTGTGTTCTGAGACAATGGGTTGAAATTGCAGCAAATATATAAACATAAAGAGCCTTACCTAATCTTATAATCCCAATACTTGGGAGGTAAAGGCAGGAGCGTCAGAAAGTCAAACTCAGCCTCCACTACATAGGGAGTTCAAAGCCAGTCTGGTCTATGTGATACAGTCTCAAAAGGCATTTTTAAGTATAGAAGGAAAGGGCAAAGTCACTTACTTTGAACATTCTTCCAAGGCTTGGCAGAGTGTCTGTTGAAATGTGCATACTTCTTCAAAGTTTCCCAATAAACATGTAAACTCCACAGTACTAAGGCTGAATAAAAAAAGGGACATGATGTTCCAGTTAATAGAACGGAAAGATGTGCCAGATATCTAGTTGGAGCTCAGTTAGCTGCTAGCTGGCTGCTAGCTGGCAAGTATGGAAGTCAAAGTGCCTGTGTTTGAATTTCTTCTTTGTTAACTTACAACATCTCTATGGCCTCTGTCACCCTTGTTTAGCTTCTTCCCTTGGTTTATCTTTTATATGATAAGAATAATGATTGTAAAGAAAGTTGGTGGTCATTAGGGGCACTTACATATTTTATTAACCATGAGGAAAACAACATGTGCTTAATATTAACGTATAACAGTAGGTAAAAGCATAATACTATGTGGAATAAGTTAAAAATCTATGGTATATCTCTTCTAAAGAAAATAGGGAAATAATTAAAATATTTATGTTCAACAAGCACAGAGAGGAAAATGTAGCAAAATTAGCTTTCTCTAAAATGAAAATATTCAAATAACAACTAAAAACATTCTTCATGAAGGAGAATAGAAGGGAGAAAATAAAATTGAATTTTGTTACTGTTATTTGTAGCATGGAATGGAGTTAAATGGTGGCAAACTGAATGGTTTTATTCGGGGCATCTACATGAGGATTATTCCCGTTCATTTTCCCCTTACCAAGCAGTAAGCGATACTAAGAACAGGAGCCAACCCTCACAAGGCACGGAACAGTCATGCAATCACTTTCCAAACAGGAGCTTCAGTTGCTCTGTGAGCTAAGCTGCACGGCCATTTACAGGCTAAGTGCCATTTTACAGGCGAGAAGACATAGGCACAGGGCAGGGAGTAAGCAAACCCACTGAAGATCAAAGAGCAACAAATAGCAAAGAAAAGGTTATCCCAAGCATTCTAACTCTGGAGAGCACGCTCTAAAGCACTTGTCTAGAGATTCACTTGAGATGTGGATGTACCACACATTGCCTCTCCTTCAGAATATATCGTCCTGGGGGCTGCAGAGAGGGCGCAGAGCACTTGCTGTTCTTGAACAGGACCCAAATTCAGCTCCCAGCACACACATTGGAGCTGCTCACAACTGCATAGAATTCCAGCTCCAGGGCGCTGATGCCCTCCAGGATCAGGCTTCCTGCAGCACCTGAGCACACATGGCACACACTCACAGAGACATATACAGAATTAAAAATAAAAAAAAATGTTTTAAAGAAACAAATTACCAGCTCTAAGCACGCATACATATGAGCAACACTAAATGGGCTCAGGGAGACAGGGAGGCACTGGAAGGGGGGGGGGGAGTGGAAACGGTGACAGTACAGTACTCATGTAAGAAACCCTCACAAATATTAAAATTAAATTAAAAATTATATACAATCCTAAAGAGATGCGGTAAGGCACACCTGTAATCTCAGCACTTGAAAGGTCGATTTAAGAGGGTCAGGAGTTCAAGCCTGAAACTAGTCGTAAGCTACATGAGAGACACTGTCCCAAAACAAATTTTTGAAAGCATGTGCATGACATAGTTAATTCCTAGGGGAATATTTGCAAAGGAGTTTTGCTCATTAATCAAAAAGGGAAGATCCCAGTAAACATTCCCAGTAACCCTCAGAACATGAAAAGCTCCCAGTTCCTCCACTGTTCTGCCCTCTTGAACTGCAAACTGGAAACCCCGCCTCCCGTTGGCCGAGGAGGACTCTGGCAGCCAGCCAGTTTCTCTGGCTGCTTCTCTATCATAGCTGCAGCAAGCAGGGCCCCTGAACTTTCTGCAACCTGTTGGAGAATGTAGCTAGCCTCTTCACCAGCAGACAGCAAACAGTCTGGCTTGCTCAAATCTTTGCGGGGTGAGAAGACAGTCAGAACTGGTGGAAACACCCTGACACCAGTGTGAGCATCAAAGTGAGGGTGAGCGCAGGTCTGACCCGTCTCACATGCTCCTCTCCCTGTTCCGGGATTACAAGTCTGCTTCTTCCTCATTTGAAATCTGACCATCCCCCATTCAGGATGACTACTTCAGTGACCCCCTCTTCTGCGGGTTCCAGCCAGAAAACAGAAGGCATATTTCAGATAGCGTGTACCAAGAGACATGGTAGAGCCAGTCTGGTCACTTGGGGGCTGTGTGACAGGCAAAGCAGTGAGCCTGTCCAGACTTCAGTTTCTTATCTCCTCAATGGAGATGGTCAGTTCTCCCAGGAAAGTAGAAAGGGCGGTGTGCTGTATTCCTATATCACTCGATAAACTATGATTCACATAACATTTCACATTGCACATCCTAAAAACCAAACACAGGAATATACAGTGCTTCCATATGAAAAACGCTTCCCTTGGCGTCATGAGAATAGTTAAATCAAAGTTCAGCATGACAGTTTGCTTAAACAACATAATTTGGGGAGGAAAAAGGAGAAAAATAGTTAACTATATTAAACTCATTTAAGCCTGGAGTTGGTAGTTCAGATTTTGTCTTCCACTGTGTGAGCTAAAGTTTCTATTTCACTTACAGATTATGATAGCCAGCAAAATTTAATCAGTTAAAGTAACAAATAAGGACAGTCATTATTTGTTAAATATGTTAGCCCTATAATCATAAACAATAAATCATAAACAATGAAATAAAATATTTTAACTGAAATCTAATTACATTATTTCCCCCTTCCCTTTTCTCCCTCTAGCTTGCTCCCCCACTCCCTCTCAAACTGATAGTCTCTTTGATTTTTAGTGTTAACATGTATTTTTCTTTCATGAAAACTTAGTCTTTCGCTCATACTTTAGAAAATCATTTCAGGTTTAGTAAGTTTTGCACATTTTGCTTTCAGAATGCTTTCCATCTCATTATCATTCACATGTGCCTGAATAAAATACTGGCTTGAATTGTGCTCTTCTAAACATTTGCAAAATGCCACTCTCTTTCCACTTTGGGAGCATGGGAAAGAAGAGGTCTGGCCTGGCAATTGAAAGTCAGAGCAAGAATGAGAATTTCCAATTTATGTGATTTCTGAATAAAAGTACTTCACTTTAATATGCACAGGAAATGTGGAAGCTAAAAAGAAGACCCCTCTACCTGCACATTGGTGCATGTTGCAGTGCTCGTGAATGGATCTTTTGTTTAATATTGCAGCCCTGTTCATGACAGCTAAGCAACAAAATCAACCCAGATGTCCAACACTAGAGGAATGCACAGGGGAAATGTGCCTTCTATGTACAAGAAAATTTTTGTTTAACTATAAAGAATGAAGTTATGTCATTTGCAAGAAAATGGATGCAATCAGAAAAAAATCATATTAAACAAAATAAGCCAGTCTCAGAAAGGCAAATATCAGGTGTTGCCTCTCATTTGTTTTATATAGATACATAGAATTTTGTGTGTGCATGTGCGTGTGCATGCACGTGCGTGTGTGTGTGTGTGTGTGTGTGTGTGTGTGTGT